TCTGCACGACAACGCGAGTTGTTCTACAGCGTCAATGCCAACAGGCATAGATCCGAGCGGTACCTCCCCGTTGTTGGCGGGCTGCGATGTGCGAAACTGTCGCCATCTTCGAGAGCCGCTGGTGAGTCCAGCCGACTGAGGCACCGCGCGGATCTGAGCGGACCTCCCCGTCCCTGGGGGGCTGCGATTTGCGAAACTGTCGCCACTTTCGAGGGCTGCTGGCGGGTCCAGCGGAGTGAGGCACCGCGCGGATCTGAGCGGGACCTCCCCGCCCTAGGGGAGCTTCGATCTGCGAAACTGTCGCCACTTCCGAAGGTTGCTGGGGGCTCGCAACTTTCGCGGTGCCTCACTCCGCTGGACCCACCAGCAACCCTCGAACATGGCGACAGTTTCGCATATCACCGCCCCCCGGGGATGGGGAGGTAACGTTCAGATCTGCGCGGTGCCTCACTTCGCTGGACCCACCAGCAGCGCCTTCGAAAAGGGCATCAATTTCGTAAATCGCAGCCCCAGAGACGGGGAAGTACCGTTCAGATCTGCGCGGTGACTAACTCCGCTAGACCCACCAGCAACCCTCGAAAATGACAACAATTTCGCAGATCGCAACCCTCCAATGACGGGGAGGTACCGCCCAGATCTGCGCGGTGCCTCACCCCGCTGGACCCACCAGCAGCCCTCGAAAGTGGCGACACGCTCGCAGATCGCAGCCCCCCAGGGACGGGGAGGTACCGCTCAAATCTGCGTGGTGCCCCACTCCGCCGGACCCACCAGCAGCCCCCGAAAGTGGCGACAGTTTCGCAGATCACAGCCCCCAACAACGGGAAGGGACCGCTCGGATTTGCGCGGTGCCTCACTCCGCTGGACCCACCAGCAACCTTCGGAAGTGGCGACAAGTTCCGAATCGCAGCCCCCCAGGGACGGGGAGGCCCCGCTCAGATCTGCGCGGTGCCTCACTCTGCTGGACCCACCATCAGCGCTTTCAAAAAAACAATCAATTTAGCAAATCGCAGACCCCCAAGGACGGGAAGGTACCGCCCAGATCTGCGCGGTGCCCCCAGACCCACCAACAACCCTCGAAAATGACAACAAGTTCGCAGATCGCAACCCCCCAATGACGGGGAGGTACCGCTCAGATCTGCGCGATGCCTCACTCCGCTGGACCCACCAGCAACCCTCGAAAGTGGTGACAAATTCGCCGATAGCAGCCCCCCATGGACGGGGAGGTACCGCTCAGATTTGCGCGGTGCCTCACTCCGCTGGACCCACCAGCAGCCCTCGAAAGTGGCAACAGTTTCGCAGATCGCAGCCCCTCCCCAGGGATGGCGAGGTCTCGCGGGAGACAGGAGGCGGGAGGATGGAAGGACGCGCGAGCAGTGAGTGCTCTATTCAAAACCAATTCCAATGCCAAAATATTAGTTTTGTACAAAAACACAAACCACGTCCCAAAAAAACACATGATTTAAGATATATATATATATATATACACATATATATATAACACGTGGGGAGTTGTTTGTTTGTTTTTTCGCGGGGGGGGCGGGGGGGGTCCCGGGAGCGATCGGGCAATCCCTTCAAATCGCAATTCGGGCCAACCCCCCCAAAAAACCCCCCAACTCGAAGGTTTTCTCTATGGTTGTTCCGGGGGGGGGGGGAAACCACAGGAACAACAAACAAACTCGCGAAAATGTTATGTGTTTTTGTTTCTGGGGTTTTCCCGGGGGAACCCCGACAAACAAAAAAAGCATGATGCGGTGTGTTATGTTGTTTTTCCCCCTGGGGAGCCCCGGAAACAAAACAAAAAACTCGGAACTGTTCTGTTGTCTGTTCTGGTGGTTTGCGGCTCCATTAATTTAAACTGTACTATGCAAACCCCAACTCGAAGGTTTTTACCTAACAGCGTTTGCTGATAGGTTTCTAGTAGGCTCAAAAGAGAGCATCATGACTCCTCAGGGGGGTCTGGGCGGGTGCCGGGAAGGAGAACCGGGAATCGTTTTTCGCCAACAGTCACACACTTCGTGCTCTTCGACCTCCCAGAACTCCATTCCCGGGCCACATTCTGGAGAACCGGGAACAGAGCCGGGCTCGCTTTTCGCCAACAGTCACACACTTCGTGCTCTTCGACCTCCCGGAACTCCACTCCCGGGCAACATTCTGGAGAACCGAGAACAGGGCCAGGCTCGCTTTTCGTCAACAGTCAAACACTTCGTGCTCTTCGACCTCCCAGAACTCCACTCCCGGGCTACATTGTGAGTGCCCGGAGCCAACTGTAGGCCACTTCGTGCTCTTCGAGTTCCCAGAACTCCATTCCCGGGCCACATTTTGGATGCCCGGAGCCAACTGTAGGCCACTTCGTGCTCTTCGATTTCCCAAAACTCCATTCCTGGGCCACATTTTGGATGCCCGGAGCCAACTGTAGGCCACTTCGTGCTCTTCAAGTTCCCAGAACTCCATTCCCGGGCATGATTTTGAATGCCCGGAGCCAACTGTAGGCCACTTCGTGGTTTCTAGTTCCCAGAACTCCACTCCTGGGCCACATTTTGAATGCTGAGGCAAGCTGATACTGCGGCCGAGGCAGGCTGAGGCTGAGGCAGGCTGAGGCTGAGGCCGAGGCTGAAGGCAGACTGAGGCTGAGGCTGAAGCAGGCTGAGGCTGAGGCTGAGGCAGGCTGAGGCTGAGGCTGAAGCAGGCTGATGCTGAGGCAGGCTGAGGCTGAGGCTGAGGCTGAAGGCAGGCTGAGGCTGAGGCAGGCTGAAACTGAGGCCGAGGCTGAAGGCAGACTGAGGCTGAGGCTGAAGCAGGCTGATGAGGCTGAGGCTGAGGCTGAGGCTGAGGCTGAGGCAGGCTGAGGCTGAGGCTGAGGGAGGCTGAAGGCAGACTGAGGCTGAGGCTGAAGCAGGCTGAGGCTGAGGCTGAGGCAGGCTGAAGCTGAGGCAGGCTGAGGCTGAGGCTGAGGCAGGCTGAGGCTGAGGCTGTGACTGCGACTGCCGTTGCCGCTGCGACTGTCATCGCGAATGCGACTACGACTGCGAGAACAGCAGAATTCGACAACGGGATTTTCATCTGAACCTGAAGGGGAATGCTTTCAGATATGCTTCTACATATCGCTGTTAGGTTGCTTTGCCGGGATAATTGTTTTTGCGTGCTTCTGGCGATTCTCTCGGAAGGGGAACCGCCGAGAAAAAAAACAGTTCGGGAGGTTTTTCGGGTGCGGTTCGAGCGTTTCCCGGGGGGGAGCCCCAAAACCCCTCGAACTCTTTGACTTTCTCTCTTGCAACGGGACGCCGTTGAATACAGGGTGTTGCGTTGGAGTCGGAGACTGTTGAGTACTGAGTGTTGTGTTGAAAACGGAAGCTGTTGAGTACTGGGTGCTGTGTCGAACGAGGACGCACGGCGGCGGGCGGATCGGGATTCGAACAAAACTCCTAAAGAGTCTTTCTTGCAGCGGCATACTATGGAGTACTGGGCGTTGTGTTGGGGACGGGATATGTCGAGCACTGGGCGTTGTAGTGGGGGCGGACGAGTTTGACTACTGGGTGTTGGCGGGGGGCGCGCGGCGGACGGGCAGCGGTCGTGCGGCGGGCGGGCGGGCAGGCGGGCGGGCGTATCGGGGGGAGAAATAGAACCTCCTAAGGATTCTCTCTGGCAGCGGGGTAGTGCGGGATACGAGATTCTCTCTTGCAGTTGGAGACGGAGGCTGTTCAGT